GCTAGTTAAATGCAGTAAAGCTTTATTTTGTGTCACATTTAATGCATCATGTAATAGCTAATCCCAAGAAAATTATTATGAGAGACTAATTACCGTCATTAGTGATTTAAAATAACGCAGTGGTGGCCAAAGAAAAGTTGGACACAAATCAGCATCTCTATAACTGTTACCAACCTCACCTAGTTAACTAGTTCACTATTTACTAGCCGGTCCTAAGATCGGGTAAAGAGGGAAGGTTGGGCATAGGACTAGCAACCCTACCCCTTAAAGCCAATCCAACCACTAAGGAAACTTCAAAGCACAAAGAAAATATAAAACATAAAATTAAACTTATTCCTCGCTGGAATCGGAGAGACGAAATGACGCCGCTTGGTAAAAGCCTTCGAGAAGTCAATTGGCCCATGTGTATTCTCTCGATGAAAGCGAAAGTAAATATGGGGACATGGAATGTCCAAACAATGTTTGAAGTAGGCTGGCTGGCAAGGTTGCCCATATTGCAAAAGAAATCAGAAGGTAGGGCTTGTAAGTGTTTGGAATCTGTAAGGAATCTGCAGATAAAATGGAAGTGGAATCTTCAAACTGTCAACTGGGGAGTCAATAATTTACTGTGATATTGTCACCTAGAAGAAAATCACCAGCACACTGAGTTATGAAGTACCTATCATGATATCTTAAACAGCACCCAAGACTCTTATGCTGTGGGAACCAATTTCCTCCACAATCAGAATCATGACAGCAAGATGCATTCAACTCAAAAAGAAGGAAAGTAACATTCATACAATGCTACGCAGTGCACCTACACATAATGAAGAGGAAAAGAAGATGGAGAAATTCTACAAACAAATGCAATCAGTACTGGACAAGACTCAACCCAGTAGGCGACATCAAATTTTGATTGGGTGGGATGACATGAATGCCAAACTGGGAAAAGACAACACAGGAAGAGAACTGATCATGGGTCGAGAAACACTCGGTGAAGTGATGAACGAGAATGAAGAACCGTTTGCAGACTTCTCTGTATTCAACGACTTGGTGACTAGGAGCAGTGTGTACAAACACAAGGATATTCACAAAGTGATATAAATTCGATTTCACCAGACACCATGACACACACTACACTAAAAATCAGATCGACTTCATCTCAACACGAAGAAAGTGGAGATGCATTCAGTCTACTGGACACAAGATCAGATGAAGAAGGTGAGCAGATGTGGGTTGAGACCAAGTTATATCTAGTTCAAGGAACCTACCCTGAGAATCAAGTTGGAAGCCTTCAAAGAAGTTGGTGATAGACTGCAGCTAGAGTTGGACACCCAAAACAGAAACTGAGGGACGAAACTACAAGCGACACCTTCACGTCAGCCATCAGAACAAAATGGGAAACACTAAGCAATATCCCTGAAGGAGCGGGTGTGGAAGAACACTGGAACTCTTTGAATGTGACCTGGAAGGAAACCTGCATAACCGTGTTAGGAAGGAAGAAGAGGAAAGACAGGACAAGTAATGGATCTCGATGGACACATGGAAGCTGATAGAGCAGAGAGAGGAAGATGGCGAAACAGAAGATGAACCAGTGGATTGCAGTGCAGGAATGAACAACTATTAGAGGAAGTGATTGCAATCCATAAAACATCACACTAGACAAAGAAGTGAAGAGGAGTGCATGCAAAAACAAAAGACACTTCTACGAAACACTGGCAAGTGAAGCAGAACAGACTGGAGGTAGGAGAGACGGAGACCTGACTACGGTCTTAGTGCCACAAACCTCTATCAACCCCATTCAACAGTTATATGAAGACGTCACATGCCGAGTGATTCACAATGGAAAGCTCAGCTCAGTGACACCTTTGTATTGAAGACAGGAGTAAGATTAGGCTGCCTTCTGTCAAGGATGATCTTCCTGATTGTGGTCGACTGGATTATGCAAAACACAACTGTGAGGAGCGAGAAGAGCTGCATGCACTGGACCGATGAAAAGACCCGAGAAGATTTGGATTTCGCCAACGATGATGATTTATGCCTGATGTCTTGTCGCACAAACTCGAAAATCTACAGGCAGAAACTAACACGTTGACAGAAGAGGTGAGGCAGCGAAGAAAGGCAGTACGTAGAGAAGACACAGGTGATGAAGATACCCAAACAACAACAGTAACGAGCACCAATCACCATCAACAGGAGAAACCCAAATGAAGTTGTCTCTTTCACCTAGCAAGCTGCCTAGGCAGCATCGTTTCAACTACAGGTGGCACAGGCACAGATGAGGACGTAAAAGTAGCCAGGATCGGAAAGACACCAAGACAGGCCTTGCTGCATTAACCTGAAATGATCAGTGTTTCGATCTGCTTCGCTCGGCATAAAGCGTGAAGAAGAACCGGATTTTCAACATCGACTTCAAGTAAGTCAGTGCTTCTATGTGATGGTTGAGAGACTTGGCGTGTTACGAAAAACATTTCCAACAAACTACAGACATTCATCAACAGCTGCCTATGCCGGCCCAATACTGAAGATCAGATGGCCAGAAAGAACAAGCAACAGGGACCTCACTCTGGCTGGCAACGAACATACCAAAAACCCGTCGTCCAGAAATATACAGAAGAAAGTGGAGATGGATTGGATTGGGCATACTCTGAGAAAACCGTTCGGAGACATAATGTGCCAGGCCGTCGAGTTAAATCCAAACGGGAAACAATGAGTTGGGCATCCAAGGGTGATAGGGAAGAGATCGTTTGAGGAAGAAATGAAAGCTTCTAGGCAGTCATGGGGCCAGGTTCAAACGGCTTCAGAGAACAGAGTGTAATTGAGACGTGCTACTGAAGCCATGTGTTCCACTAGGAACCCAAGGGATAAATAATTAATAATATTAATAACTGTTACCGCAATTTTACTCCACTTTCAATATGCAGAAAAGTGATTGGGGTTGAGGTGCTTTTACATCTAGATATTTATTTCAGTTAAAGAACTCAGTGCAACGCTTAAAGATACTTAAATAATCTTATAAAACAATATCATCACAAACTATTCTCCAGGTGGTACCATCTGTTGTAATATTTAAGTGAATATACAGTCAAAACAGATACAGTTGTATCCTGACATTACACAGAGACAACTTAATTTATTTCCTGCCTGGGTTGATGTAGAACAGCTTACCTTGACAGGATAAAGATCTCACTGAAGTATATTGCATTTTATTCAAATCGATCGGCACACCATTATCTAGCTAAAACTGTTCAGTATTTACTTTAGACTTATTCGCGTACAATATTACAGAAGCTGTTTAGTATTATACGCGGAAAACTTATGTAATGTTGTAGAATACGATTCTACATTAGATTTGTGAATGTTTTACATAACACACTAATACAGTATCATTTACTTGTTGACGTTTCCAACATAAATTATTGCCCATATTCATATCAATGTAATCTCATTACTTTAGGCAATCGATTTTTATGGTCCTAACACCTCATGTTCCTTGCTTTTATTGGTAGTAACATTTACCATGTCTCTGGCATAGGTAATGAGTTATTCCAATTAAACGGGTCAGGTGTGGATTTAACGAACAAAGATTCAGTAAGCGATATGTCTCTCCATCGAATTATATTGGACCTGTTTATGGTGGTTTTATTACACCTTACTGTGTGGTTGTGTTTTCATGCATACATTGCAATGACCGAGTGTTTTTCCAGATTATCGTTCTCACCATGGTCCGCTAATGCAGCTGATCCCGATTGGCATGTTTAGCCCATGTACTTCACCTCACAGTCATTGCATGGAACTTGGTAGATTAAATTATTTTCCTTAGTTGGTTTTATCGGGTCTTTAAGTCGATAAAGCTAATTTCTAAATGAGTTTGTAGGTTTAAATGCCACCCTAATTCCAGCTTTGTTGAAGATTCTGCGTAAAGTTCCTGTTGTTCCTTTCTTATGACGTAACATAGTGAAGGCGTTGAACTTACTTCTACTCCAGCTGTCACCATTAGTCGCGTTCGCATCACTGTTATTATTTTGTTTACTAGGTGTTCATGTGAATTTCTGAATAAACTATGGACGATACTTATTAATTAGTAACTTTCATCTTATGTGCGGTAATCCCTTGTTTAGATCCTTGCGCTGCTCTACCATTCGGATATTCGACTGAACCTACCTGAACTGATATTGTATGAGATGACTTGAAGTCTAGATATCTGTTAGGATATATTGGTTTCCTGTAGATGACAGTATTCAAACCGCCATCTATCCTTTCGTTTTATCCCGCAATCCAACATAGGTAGTTCTCCTTGTTCATTTTCTACCTCGTAAATGAACTGCAGTGCGCCTACTACTGAGTTTATATATATGTTAGGAAGTTGTCGATATGTTCCTATTTCAACACAGTAAATGTGTCATTCACGTATCGCCATTATATCTTAGGTACAGGATTAGAGGTTTGTAAAGCCATATTTTCCGAACTATCCATAAATATATCTGCTACGATTGGGGATATTGGCCATCCCATTTCTGCACCTTCTGTTTGTTTGTATATTTTGTCCTAAAACTTGAAGACGATGGTGGTCAGGCACATCTGTACGCCTAATATGATCTCATCAACCGATATCTTAGTTCACTGATTCAGCTCTTAGTCAATATTTAGTTGACTTCTGACTGCGTCCAATGCCAAACTGATTGGTATTTTAGTATAAAGACTTGTTACATCGAAACTAACCATTTTGTCATCTTTTTCTATATATAGGTCACTAAGTCGTTCTTTAACTTGTAAAAATTGACTAACATGCCATAGTATCGATACTCAGTCCTTTGGTAGTTAATATGTTGGGGCATTTCTGAAGTCAACTATCAGTCTAATTGGATAATTTGGTTTATAAAGCTTAATAGTACCATAATTCTGCTAAGACTATTGGTTATATATATATATATATATATATATATATATATATATATATATGCTATGTTACTCTCATTCTGACATACTTTCCAAGTATATTTTGTTTTCTTAATTATTAGGAATATACCACAACTAATGAAGGCATCTTATGCCAAGTTCTCCGTATCCTATGGAGGCTATCTACACGAGAAACACGTAAGTCTTTCACCTATCTTCATGATATTTGTTTAAAACTATGAAAACTTTTCTATTTGTTTACTTAGTTACTTTTTGGATAAGAGTACTTCCGTTTCTTTGTTGTTGTTTTTTCTTCCTAGGAAAAATTACTAGGAAAAAGTTTCATTCTCATTGATAATACTGAAACAAATAATAAGAATCATTACATATTGCTCTGAATGCTATCCACTTACATAAATAATAGTTATTTAAGATGAATATTAATTCACTACTTTTAATAATTCATAATACCTAAAGTAAAAATAAACTATGACCACTGTGTACTGTGTCATTATTTATAATCAGCTCATAATTAATGTTATTGATAAGAATACTACAACAAGATAGGCAAAGAGATAAGAGTAAGAGAATGCACAACAGTAGCTATGAGTGATTTTTTTTCCTTTTATTTCTACAATGATAACTAATGTCGACTGCGGTTCACAAAAACACTCAGTTTCCATTTTCAAAGGGTAGCTAGCCTAATATGATATATATATATATATATATATATATATATATATATATATATATATTTATATGTCAGAGGCAATTAACAGCATGTGGGTATTGATTATTCATCAACAACTGCCTACGCTGAAGATAAGATGGCTAGAATAATAAGAGTAAGCAACAAGGAACTCTGGCCGGGTAACAAACCACCCAAGAAGCTATCGCTGAACAAATATGCACTGGAAGGAAGTGGAGATGGATTGAATTAGGCATACACTGAGAAGGTCGACTGGGGACATCAGGCGTCAGGTCAGGCACTCTAGTGGAATCCAGATGGGAAGTGACGAGTTGGGTGTCTGTGGTGAGGGTGTTATGGAGGAGATCGTGTGAGGAGGAAATGAGAGCTTGTGGTCTGTCATGGAGCGAGGTTCAAAAGATTTCAGACAACAGAGCGTATTGGAGATATGCTACTGAATCCCTTTGTTCCATTAGGAACCCAAGGGAGTAATAATACATAATAAAAAGTATTGATTAGATCATTACACATGTTATAAAAATGAACACAGAAACCAATAAACAAATACATGTATTTCAAGTTGTTAATCATCGTAGACTGACATCAGTTGGAGGAACAAAGGAAACCTGGGAGCACTGGACAGCTGTTTCGTCCTGGTATGGGACTCCTCAACGTTGAGCAACCATGACCCCGTCAGGAATCGAACAGGCGACCTTCAAGTCCTGTGGCCAGCACATTACCATTCATCCACTGCGTCAGAATCCAATGGTCCATATTTCCAACTTCTGTTAGCTCACGATACAGCGCACCCACCACACAGTATCATTGTTGAGTAACTGTCCAATGCTCCTAAGTTCCCTTTGTTTCTCCAACTGATGTCAGTCTACGATGAATAACAACTTGAAATATTTCCAAATCCCTACAACTCACTCTAAATTCAAATACATGTTTTATGAAATGATCGGGCATTCCCTTTTAACCTTGCCTCAAAATATAGTTCTTGTAGTGATTGAATTTTAAAAGTCTTACCAACTTATTATATTTACAGAAATTCGATGAAAAACACTGGACAACGGTAAAGATTCTCTGCATATAAAAGCATTTATACCGGCTGATGATTGGAGATGAAATGAAAATAAAACCACGGCCGGTTTCGAACCAGAGACCATCAAATTTCCGGCCTAATGCCCAGTTGATACGGCCGGAAACTTGGTGATCGCTGGTTCGAAACCAGCTGCTGTCCAAAGTTTCGTTTCATCTTCAATCATTACCCAGTATAAATGCTTTTATGGGCAGAGAACTTTACAGTTATCCAGTGTATTTCCTTGAATTTCTGTAAATATAATATGTTGGTATGACTTACATTTCAATTACTACAAATTCCCGTTATCACTCATAGTAAAATTAAAAGGTGTCTATCAACTGTTTGTAAGAAATATTTCAATGGAGATTTAATGTCTACTTTAAGAGAGATAAGACATTTTACAGACCTAAAACTGGCATAATAAAGTGGCACTTTCCTCTTGCTCTATTACCGGTTAACTGTTTCCTCGCATGTCTTGATTAAAGTGTTCTGAAATCAAATGTGAACCAATTTAGCTTTTTAGACGATTTGTCAACAATTTCCAAATTGTATTGTTAACGTTTCAAATGTCACTTATTCAACTAGAAAGTTTACCTACTTTCAGACAGGAGCCATATTATTTGTTTTCACTTTTTTTCGATGTGACAGTGACAAGGTGATCAAATAATTCTATCTCATAATCAAGCTAAATTGGACAGTTCATTTATAATGTAAAAGAAAAGCCTTATATGTTTGTTCTGCTGTCAGAGTCAGAATACCTGGCTGGAAAATACGATAGAAACTGAGATCACTGGAGGGTAACTAATTTCATGCTGTCTAGTCCTGAGTGATGACCGAATTCTGTCGAACATTTTGCAATATGTCCACTATAATAGGAGGCCGAGACCTGGATAGCTCATTGATTATAAAACAGAGTGACTAGGGTTTCATCCCCGCAGAGGATATTATTTCCATCGAGGTTGCAAATATGTCTTGTTGAATAGTCTAAACAAGCACGGAACAGAAGTCTAGAGCTTCCTCCTGATTACCTCGAACCAGATAACATAAATTGCTTCTAATCTACTGATAAGAGGTTCATAAAAGTTATCTGACAAAGCTTGTTTCCCTTAAACAAAGGAAGACAGAAGATTATAGCGATAAAGTATACCAATTTAATTTCGGGCACTTTTCTTTTACTACTTACAACCTAAAGCAATCTCATCATATTCTTTTTCAAGTATATAAAATACTTTAATCAACTTAACAGAAGAACACTATATTATACTGATTGTTTGGTAGAGAAAAAGGTGAGACCGTATTATTTACTGTAAGCTATACCGAAAACAAACAACTCAGTATGGAATTACACTCCACTGCAGTGACCAAGTTTCATTTTTACGTTAAGCAAAAGAACTTTTGATAGAGATAGTTGTTTCAAATTCCCGCTCCTGGTTTAGGATTTATACTACTTTTTTAGTTTCATCTACTGTCAACCAATCTCTGTGTAACTCTTATGCAGTGAATGTGATTGGCCTTTCGATTTTAGAAAACTACCTCTATTTGCCTTTTCACTTCCTTTTTACATTTCTGGAATGTAGTTAAATTAGGAACAGTTGTGTCAATCCACCAGGACAATACAAAGACGTTTATTGGACGGATGGACGAACAAGAAACCTTTATTACTGAGCCTAGCTTTTATTTACTGTCTGTCCTCCTTCAATACTAATCACCCAGTGTCACATTTTGTATCAGTGTCCTGATGGCAGTAGTTTAATTTAGTTCATTTAAGTTATATTGAACTGCTGGTAGAAACTGAAATTAGATTGTTTGTTGAACTGATCAGATTATCTGAAACAATTTTAAAAATAGGGAAACAGCAGCTTTAGTTAACATAAATCTTATGACCTTCTTTCACTTATTTTGTGTAGCCATTCTGAATACTTTGAATACATTTATCTCCCCCCCCTTATCCAAATTCCGCTCCACAGTATTCATCTAATCCTTCTACATATACTAAAAACCTTTCGTTATTAGTTCTGCACATTTATTCACTCGGTTCATGTGTTTTCAATTACATCATAATGTTGTTTTTCAATCAAGGTGACAGTTTTTTGTCAAACTGATTTAAATATGCGAACACTTATGTAAATTGATGCTGAACATGTTTTAGGTTGTAAGAGGCTGATGAAAAACTGCGAACCCACACTATTCCGCTAAACCTGTTGTTCTCGTCCCATTTAAATTTGTGAAGGGGAAGAATTGCATAGATCGATTTAGATGTCAAGATCATTAGCAGATGAAATGTTTCAAGGTTTTCGGCTCAATGATAAGGTTTGCACTCTGGATGGCAGTTAGGTAACATTAGTGTAGTTAAACACTTACTCTCTAGCCCTTCTGAAGTAAACTTGAGTGGAAATCTATTGCTAGAGACTTCTTATGAGTTTAGATTTTTATTCTTCTGTAATGTTCACAAATCCGTCTTATCAAAGTAAAGTTCTAACGATCCCTTCAAAAAGTGCTGGGTTTCCTGATATCGATTTCATCATCATGCCCTTCACATCGAGATTCCCTTGTCAGTTCAAGTAAAGCCTGAAAAATACCTATTAAATTTATACTTTAATTGCTTTAGATTTTAAGCAGCAAAGTAGGTCAGATTTTTCTGCCACATTTGCTCTTCTGAAGTCTTTTAAATGCAAATAAGTCTCCATACAAAATGTTAACCTCGTTAGCGAAACTTAAGAAAGTTCTTAAAAAACATTTTTGACTGGTAATCGATTTCTTGGAACATGAATAATTTATCTTTGAGTTAATGATAGAATATACCTTTTGGCAACGTCAATATTTTCACTCAGGTTTTTTTTCCAGCTAGTCAAATTCCATTGGTCTTTTTAAATTGCTGGGACTATAAAAACCTTTCCCAAAGTGTTTTGTCTAAGGAGAGTAAACTAATGGCAGCAGATTCACGTTCAGGTATCTCGCCATCTAGGAAGTCAACACCTTGGTTGACAGTATCCTTTTAAAATAAAGCTGAAATGTTATCAATCCTGCAACAAAGAAATTTGTTCACTTCGATAAACAGCCGAATCATCTCTAATTTACAAACTAAAACGTTATTTACTTTAAATAAACATGGTACATTTATTGGCCTTACATGATCAGAGCTGTAATTTGTCTGTCTATCTAAATTCTCGCACTTTTCTGATTAAATTTCCTCTGGTTTGAGTTATTACTAATCAATGGTACGTTTTCGTCTAGGCTTACTAAGCTTTGTGAGATAGTTTGTGATACTCTTTTGTTTTTGAAGTCAACCTTAACTCTTCCTTCCCTTCTAGGCTACCTCCACTAACTAAATTGTCTGCAATAAGTTTTATTCAGTACAACTATACAAAAGTTTTGAAAATATCAGTTCAGGGAAAAAATGTTCCAGTTAGGTCTGTTATAACCAGTGCTTGAGAGTTCACCTGAAGTATACGTCAACTTCATCCTACTGTTTGATACTCAATAACAACATTTTATAACTCCCAATGCAGTTGAGATTCTGCATCAGGCAAGTGCCTTGTTTACAACTTAATGAAATAGGTTTTATTATGTAAATGCTATTCAGTGATGATTACATCCAGGCGGCAGCTGATGAGAACTGCTGAAAGTAACTGGTGAACTGCTGTGATTTGATCTATTAGTAACACCAGATATGCATCATTTGAAATGAACAGTAAGGCCTGGAAAACTGATGGTACAAGACTTTACTACTTAGCACAGTGCCATTAGATAAAGATCCTTCACATGCGGAACTGCAAACTTTGGATGCAAGCCAGCGACGATTTGTGTCACTACAGTTATCAGGAATCAAATAGAGATCAATGTATACCTTTCAGAAAAGTGTTTCTGTATCTGCTGTTGAATAACTTAATGTTTGTCAAATAATACTGCCTAATTTCTTCATGCTGTTCTATCAACAAAACAATCTTTCCTTGACAAATGCTTCATACTTGGTGGTAAAGGACTGATTATGAGCTGAGGTTCTTTTATTTTCCGAAGAATGAAGATCTTCACTATCAAATCTAAATGATACTTTTCAACGGGGTGCACACTTTAAATGTTACTAAGGTTAACGTCATTTTATTATTCTCAATCAGAGGTAAGGATGTAGTGTTCGACGCATCACAGAGAAGAACTTAAAGTGAGATAGAGCGCACTTATGAAGTATTTGTCTGGTTGAACATCGTTTATTGATTATCCGTATGCGTTAAGATGTTCAAAGATATTTCAGTCACACAACATCCTGATAAATCGCAAATTCCAAAAAGTATTTTCTATGCAAAGAAAAGGAAAAGACTGCAGCAAGAATAAGCCATAGGTTTAGTGGTATCAAATCAGTCACCGGTTAAGATCTGTGCAAACACCTAAGCTCTAAATGATAGTAACTACAATAATAATGATGATGTAAGGCTTCAAATCACAGGATATTCATAATGTATACTAGAAATAATTATCCTTCATATTCAGATGTAAATTTTCTCGTTCAGATATTTGAACGACTAAGAAGTGAGCTGGTAAACAATAGACTGTGTGATACGTTTTGCTTTGTCACTGTAACCAAAGCTGCCATCTTATTGAAGAGGACGATTTCTCCGAAAGTAATCTCCCTAATTCCGAATATTCCGCCAACACAAAACATTTGTCTTCTGCTCGATTTCATTTAGTCCCATAAGAAGAATACTGGTATCTAAAACCGCTACGTGAAGGAGCTTTGTCTTAGGTATTTTTGTAGCCTGCACTTTGGACTTATAAACCTCAGCTAGATGCAGATAGACAATGCGTCGATGGGATCGTAAGCAGAGCTACTCCGAGCTGAGTACCATACTGCTAGTCTGTAAAACTCTGCCCTGTCAATAATATCCAACGCACTTCATATCTAATTAAGGTGCATATAGGATACCCGTAGTAATCAATCTTGATGGGAAAATGAATTTCGAAAACCTCTAAAATACTCATCACTCCATTCACGCTAGAAGCAGAATGCAATAATGAATTCCAATTCCTTGATGTCCAACTCCACAAAATGAATAAAGGTTCAGTTCTCAAACCACTTCACAAGTAGTCTACTAGAAAGTGTACATTCTTAAGTGACGAATTCGGATCTCGTTAAGCAGGAAGAAGAATCTAAGCGATTCATTCCCACCGCAAATTAGGAAAATAAGCGTGGAGGACGGTGTGCTGAAGAATTTCGTAGTAATAAAGACGTTAAGTTTATTTTCATAGATATTTACGGCTAGAAACTTATAGGTGAGGGACATCATTGTATACTGTTGCTGAACATCAGTTTTAAGAACGAGAATCCCATAGAAATCTTCAGAAGGCGACTAACAATATCCATGAGCAATTCTCAGGCTTCTTTTTGCTTCAAAACGGAGCTCCCAAAAGTGTAATAAGAAGGCGTATTGCTATGAGTTAAACGAGATTGATGCGTTGATAAATATTCACGCTTTAGAATTACATGATGGTCCCGATACGTTACAGATTAATCAATCACCACAAATCACGAACAAAAAAAACAATTTGTCGCTCAAATCAGAATCGAATTCTGCAGTCAGAAACTTACACTTCAGTATGCGAAGGACGGGTTGAAGCATTAAATCATGTCAGTGGGTTTATAACTGTTTGCTTATTTCTGTTGGAACAAGTTAATTAGCAGCAATATATGCCAGCTAGTGAAATATACTTAGGAGCACTACAAAATCTGATTAATACACAGATGAACGACATTCATCTTCAACCCTAAATATGAACACCTAGTCGATTCAGAACCCTCGATACATATTGGTGAATTAGTGTAAGGGTTATTATATGATGTCGTCGTTGATTGAACCGAATTGATCGGTCTCTATTAGCATATGGGCTCCTGTGCGGAAGCCTCGATACCGTCAGCAATCTAATTATGTTAATGATGGATCGCGACTAGCAGTGGAATTCAGGATGAGCATTTCTTCCTATTTGGGACTCGTCAGCTGGATGTACCTGCTTCTTAGTGAGTGATGTCGTTCTCACCGGGATTCGGACATGTAAGCGATCACTTCAAACGCCAGCGTGTTGGTGTAGTGAGTAACGGGCTGGCGTTTGAAGCGATCGCTCACATATCCGAATCCCGGTGAGAACGACATCACTCACTGGGAAGCAGGTATATCCAGCTGACGAGTCTCAAATAGGAAGAAATGCTCATCCTGGATTCTACCGCTAGCCACGATCCATCATTAATACCGATGAATTACTTGAAGTTGTATGCGGCTTGCAGCCAAGCCATACAAAGAGTGAAAGAATAAGAAATGTGAGCTTGGCTGAACCGGCAGCAATCCAGGAGTATGGTATGTTATTGCATATTCGATGATAGCACGTCCAACCTTTTCTTTGTATAGATCATCATAGAGGATTGCGTAGTTTGTAGAATTCCCTTGTGATATGATTACTTTCTACTTCCTAACTCTGTTTAATTTCTTACTAACATCTGACTGCATTCCTTAGTTTTCTTTCTATTGTTCAAAGTACATGGACCTGTGAAAAACTCTATTCCTCTCACTTTGTTTGTCAATAAATACAGCTAAAAGAATGAGTTTATTTGAAAGACTTACTTTCGTTCTTTGCACTCGTCATTTTTCTATCTTTTTGTAAGTTAGTTATCAAAGATTGAAGTGATTAAATAGGTGTCTAGCGTTAACAAATACGATTACAAAAACCATGATTATTTTTGAACTGTTCCTCATGCTTCATCAGATAGCTGAAATATTCGAAGATGGCCTATGAAATATTTGTATTGCATGATAATGCGCCAAACGTAAATGTTAATTTCATATGCAGAAAAAATCAATAAGTTAAAACACTACCTAATTTATACTTATCAATCCGCTAAAATGGCAACTTTCCCACTCAAGTTATTTTGACAATACACCAGTAGAGATAATGAAATAAAACTGTAAAAACTTCTAAATCATCGATCAGTGATCTAAAACGTTGAATTACTCATAGCTGTTTCTTACTAAAAGCTTACAAGAAATGGTTCAAAGTCTATTGAAATAATACATGTACATTCATACTTTATCCTCCTCTTTAATCCGTTATATTCGCATTGTGTTTCTTCCATTAATTATCTTTAGTGTATGTTAGCCAAGCAATGTTTAAACTGTTTCTTTTAAGGTAAACAAAACATTTCAAAAAACCTTTATACTAACATTATTTACTAAGGTAGAAACGAGTAAACAGACTTTAGATAAACATTCTCTTCTCCAGGTGAAGACTATCACGTCTGAATATTTTTGTCCGCTAAAAATTTGTAAGCTTGTGAATGTTAACAGGCAAGGTAGAACACCTAGTGGTAAATAAATATGGGTACTTATTGTTGAACTTCTCTTTCAGTGGAAATTCCAGTTACGCTACTTTCAGAACATTAGTACACTATGGTAGGTAATATCTAGCGATAGTATGACTTCACTACAATTCATGGTTATGGACTTACAGTCAATTCATTCAACAGTGTCGTACAGATACCCGGAAACTTCATTTTCAGATCAAAATAAAAGTAAGTGCTTTAATAATGACAGTTGCTGTTACCTCAGTTCCATTCATTTTATTCCAGACCCTTTTTCTGAAAACACTTATTCCGTTTCCAAGCAGACCATATCGACATTTGTGTTTAGAAGGGATGTTTTGTAGATTATTCTTACTTTTTTGATGGATTCAGCGTAAGATATCCTGATCAGTCTGACATGAAAACAGGCATTTAAAAAGGAAATAAGTAATCATGACTTTTTCGCCGAAACCAACTATTTTAAGCACAGTACGCAATTCAAATACAGCATTTCTTGACTTTTAGGTCCATTGCATCAGTGTTCGCTTCCTTATTTGTATGTACTTCATTAACACCCACTTAAAGTCTCCTAGTTACTATAGTATACTCCTAATGAACACAGTTCACTTCTACAAGTTATCTGTTCTCATATATGAATAAAAGCTGTTGTCATTGGACACATTTTAAAGAGAATGGTATATCTGAGTGAACCTATATCGAAAATCTACAATATCATCACCTTAGTATACTGAACTAATGTTCTTGATCATGAATATATCCTCTGGAAATAAATATGCCGTTTTGGTATTAGTATAATAGTTTCAGTTTTTGAAGCAGTCTCTCGTAAGTCAGAAATCTGTATTGGCTATCTTTGAATAAAACTTTGTTGATTTCAATAGTTTACTTGCATAATTCAGTGCTTATCCTTCAATTTTCCTCCTATTTTAATTTAGGTAACTGAAACGGAACTTGTTTACAATAATCCTACACCAAATTATACAACACGTCTCAATTTGGAATACTGTTCGAAGAGAAGCAAATTATAACGACTGAAATGTAAGTTAGTCTCCCTCTATATATCCCTATGACTCTCTATAAACGTATGCTTCAGCTTCATCATGTATCGTTTAAGTTCCTCAAATTGTAAAATACACTTTTGCTTAGTAACATTCAATTCTTTAAGATCTAATTTGCATATAAAAGCATCTACATTACTACTTTCGCACACAACAATAAACAGGTGAGAAGGGTGACTGGCTTAGAGAAGTAACCATGAATTCACCTAATTTGCTTAGCACGTGAGTGGTGAATTTCATCATCTAGACACTGAATGCTGATCCCCATATTATCCCTGAGTTTTGAACTCATGCCTTTATCATTACATCTATAAGTGTTCAGTAAACACTGACTACTCAAATTTCGTTAAGAAAAAGCAGATAAGACGCAAAAATGTGTTAATGATATATATGCCCTCCATAAATTATAGTCATCATATAAGTGTTATGTTATCCAGTCCAACAGAATTCAAATGTGTTCAGAAGGGAAAAAAGTGGAATAACAATGGAGCTGATAGTCAAAAAATATCCCAAAGTACATTGGAATTCCATGGATTTAATACCGTAACAGAAGTGAACAACAATCTGTTAAATGGCATCACCTTCAATGTATGAATCAACTCTCAGAAATCTATTATTATTATAATTATTTGTCCCTTGGGTTCCTAGTGGAACATAGGGCTTCAGTAGCACGCCTCCAGTGACCTCTGTTCTCTGAGATCTTTTGAACCTGGTCCACGACAGCCCACAACCTCTCATTTCCTCCTCGCACGACCTCCTCCATGTCACCCTCGGACGTCCAACTCGTCGCTTCCCATCGGGGTTCCACTCGAGGGCCTGGCCTGACGCGTGATGTCCTCAGTCGGCCTTCTCAGTGCATGGCCAATCCATCTCCACTTCTTCCTGCATATTTCTTGCGTGATAGGTTCTTGGTTGGTTCGTTCCCAGAGTTCCTTGTTACTTATTCTTTATTCTGGCCATCTGATCTTCAGTAGCGAGCCAGGTAAGCAGTTGTTGATGAATGTCTGTAGTTTATTGGAAATGCCTTTCGTGACGCGCCAAGTCTCTGAGCCATACAGAAGCACTGACTTCACGTTGGTGTTGAAAATCCGTATCTTGTTCCACATGCTGAGTGCAGAAGATCTCCACACTGGTTTCAGGCTAATGAACGCCTGTCTTGCTTTTCCGATTCTGACTTTGACGTCCTCGTCCGTCCCGCCTGTATTTGAACAGTGCTTCCAGATAAGTGAAGGAGGTTACTTCCTTCAAGTTTCTCCCGTTGACGGTGATTGGAGTTTGTTGTTGTTGTTGATGGTGGTGGTGCGGTATCTTCATCACTTCTGTCTTCTCTATATTCACCTGAAGTCCCGTCTTAGCTGCCTCTTCTATCAACTTGTTAGTTTTTGCCTGCAGATCTTCAAGTTTATGTGACATTAGGCATAAGTCATCGGCGAAATCCAAGTCTTCTAGGTTCTTTTCCACAGTCCAGTGTATCCCCCTCTTCTCGCTGCCTACTGTTTGCTGCATGATCCAGTCCACCACAATAAAGAATATCATGGGGGATAGTAGGCAACCTTGTTTCACTCCTGTCTTCACTTCAAAGGCATCACTGAGCTTCCCATTGTGAATAACTTGGCATGTGGCATCTTCACATACTTGTTGAATGAGGCGGATAAAGGTTTGCGGTACTCCGTAGTATTGAAGCAGTTTCCAAATTACTTCTCGGTCGACGCTGTCAAAGGCCTTCTCAAAGTCGATGAAGTTGAGGTAGAGAGCTGATTGCCATTCTATGCTCTGTTCTATGATGATACGAAGCGTTGCAATTAGGTCTGCACATGATTTGTACTTCCTGAAGCCTGCCTGTTCCGGTCGCAGTTTTGAATCCAGTGCGTCTTTAAGCCTCTCTAGGATGATGCGGCTTAATATTTTACTTGGGGTGGATAGGAGAGTGATTCCGCGCCAGTTCTTGCAAGCACTGAGGTCTCCCTTAAATCTAGCTACACTTTTAATACCCAGCATATTTATTCATTATTGTAGTACCGAACGTACCATTTGAACCTTCCTATTATACAAATAGACTGGTGCAAATAAATTGAGTAATCTTATCTCACTTGGTAAGAAAAGTGGATTTTATGACGGGATTTAATAACTAACACCTGCCTGACAAAGAACAGGATCTACTTGTTACAAACTTGGGCAGTGTTTTAACAGCTAGGATAGCTTATAATTCTATGGAACATTTTTACTGCAAGAAGGCTGTACGATATGAAAAGTTGAAAAATTAACTTCAACTCACCTTTCAGAAAATTGAACTTGGAACCAGGTAAGCTTTCATGAGTATGGCCAATCAGTGCATGTAACCCATTCCTATATGTGGTCAACCGCCGGCTGAATAACTCACTGGAAACGTCACTGGCTACGATACTGAGTGACATGGGATCGAATCCCGGGTGGGACATCTGTTCCGTCGAGTTTGCAGATATGCCTTGCTGACGATTGTTAACGTGAACAAAACCTACATCTGGGGCTGTCTGCTGAATGCCTACAACCAACTAACGTCTACTAATGTACACCGTGAAACTGAGCCTACTAGCTTCGTCACCTCAGCGTCAGTTGTCTTCATAAAAATTATCAGACTGTCTAACAACCACTATTTTTTATATCTGCTTTGATGCATAATTTAAACAATCATACCACTTTCAGTTAGCTATTATTATTATTCATATTTTTATTTGTCCCTTGAGTTCCTAATGGAACAAAGAGATTCAGTAGCATATCTCCAATACGCTCTGTTCTCTGAAATCTTTTGAACCTCGCTCCACGACGGACCACAAGCTCTCATTTCCTCCTCACACGATCTCCTCAATGTCACCCTCACACGGACACCCAACTCGTCACTTCCTATCTGCATTCCACTTGAGTGCCTGGCCTGACGCGTGATGTCCCCAGTCAACCTTCTCAGTGTATGCCTAATTCAATCCATCTCCACTTCCTTCCAGTGCATATTTGTTCAGCGATAGCTTCTTGGGTGGTTTGTTACCCGGCCAGAGTTCCTTGTTGCTTACTCTTATTATTCTAGCCATCTTATCTTCAGTAACGAGCCAGTGTAGGCAGTGTTGATGAATGTCTGTAGTTTATTGGAAATACCTTTCGTGACGCGCCAAGTCTCTGAGCCACACAGAAGCACTGATTTGACGTTGGTGTTGAAAATCCGGATCTTGTTCCACATGCTGAGTGCAGAAGATTTCCACACTGGTTTCAGACTAATGAACACCTGTCTTGCTTTTCCGATCCTGGCTGGCTTTGACGTCCTCGTTTGTGCCGCCTGTATTTGAAACAGTGCTTTTTAGATAGGTAAAAGAGGCTACTTCGTTTAAGATTCTCCTGTTGATGGTGATTGAAGCTTTCTGTTGTTGGCTGTGTATCTTCATCACCTCCGTCTACTCTACGTTCACTTGAAGTCTGTCTTCGCTGCCCTACCTCACTCTTCTGTCAACTTGTTAGTTTTCGCCTGTAGATCTCCGAGTTTGAGCGATGTTAGACACAAGTCATCGGCGAAATCCAGATCTTCTAGGATCTTTTCCGTGTTTTAGCGTATCCCCCTCTTCTCTCTCCTCACTGTTTGTTGCATGATCCAGTCCACTACAATCACGAATATCATGGGTAATAGTCGACAGCATTGTTTCACTCCTATCTTTACTTCAAAAGCATCACTGAGCTTCTCATTGTGAATTACTTGGTATGTGGAGTCTTCATATAGTTGTTGAATGAGATTGATAAAGGTTTGTGGTATTCCGTAGTATTGATGCAACTGCCGAATTACCTCTCGGTCAACGTTGTCAGAGGCCTTTTCGAAACCAATGGACTTGTAGAGAGTTGACTGCCATTCTATAATCTGTTGTATGATGATGCGAAGCGTTGCAATTTGGTCTGCACATGACTTGTACTTCCTGAATACAGCCTGTTCGGGTAGTAGTTTTGAATCCAGCGCATCCTTTAGTCTTTCCAGGATGATGCAGCTAATATTTTTCTTGCTTTGGGCTGACAGGGAAGGAGCATGATTCGATGCCAATTCTTGCAAAGACTTAGGTCGCCCTTCTTTGGGAGTTTGATAAGGTAACCCATCTTCCAATCGCCAGGTATCAACCCCACCTTCCAGACCTCCTGCAATAATGGTGTGATGTGAGCATATCCGCTGTTGTCTCTGAGTCTGCTCCCAGTGCTTCTGGTGGGATCCCATCTGGTCCTGCTACTTTGCTGCATTCCAGTAGCTTTATGGCGTTCAGGAATTTGACCTTCGTTGCAGAATTTGTGTTCACTTGTAGTTCTGTGGCTGGGCTGCAGGTCGTATTTCTGGACGAAGTGCAGGTGGTGGTGGTGGTTGATTCAAGAGCTTTTTGAAGTGATCAGACCATCGTTTCCTTTGTTTCTCTTCCTCTGTATTAATAATATTTCCTTCATCATCTTTTATTGGTTTCATCTGTTGACCTCTTCCCTTACATATGGTAACCTAGTTATTTGATATAATGTTGTCAAGTCTCTATCTCTCCTACCACCAGTCTGTTATGCTTCACCTGCATGTGTGTCATAGAAGTGTCTTTTCTCTTCCCATGCACTCCCCTTCACTTCTTTCTCCAGTGTTTTATACACTGTACTCAGTTCATCTTCTCGTCGTTAATCCATGCACTGGTTTATCTTCTGCTTCACCATCTTCCTCTCCCTGCTCTTTCAGCTTCCATGTGTCCATCAAGATCCATTCCTTGTCCTGTGTTGCTTCTTCTTTCTTTTTAATAAGGTTGTGCAGGTTTCTTTCCACATCTCCTTCAAAGACTTCCAGTGTTCATCGACACAAGTTTCTTCAGTGATGTTGCTCGATATCTCCCATTTTTTCCTGATGAAGATGTCGTTTGTCGTTTCGTTCTTCAGTTTCCGAGTGTTGTACTTGAACTGCGGTTTATAACCGGCTTCCTTGAAGGCTTTTAACTTGATTTGGAAGGTTCC